AGGCAAATTTGTATTGAGTTTAAACCGAGCGACAGGTTTTGTCAGGATTCACTGGAACAACTTACACTTTAGTATTACTGAAAGTATCGACAGAGACACAATAAAATGGCGTGCAGTTGTTGATTGCAATGAACTCTGGGAAAAATGACGTCATATTTGCGTGATTTCCTGTCTACATTTTATGTTAATGATTTATCACAGATTAGTACGTTTTGTTTCAAATGTTTGCCCGCGACACGCATCCAATGAAAAGAACATGGTTCGTTTCCTAACCATCATTTTTAGTAACCGTGATCAGGGATACTCTAAAACAATGACTGTGCAACTTTGCAACTCCGTTAAACCCTACTTTGACAGCCATTTTAGATTGGAAAATTAGCAAAAATACATGGAATTGAGGTTCACAATTCAAACTAGTTTGGGTAACCCAAGTTAAAATCACAAAGAATAGTTTTAGTAAACTGCTGTCAAAAATGTGTGCCATGACTATCCTTAAGTAACTAATTTAATCTTGAATTCAAATGCATACATCCAAACTTACTTGTTTTTTGATCATCTTTCAAATATGCATCATATTCTTCTTTCATCTCCTCCATTTTTTTTCTTATTTCGTCTTTCATAACATCTCCAGACCAGGATTTGACATCATTTCTGTCATGATTTGGATTGCCAGTTATCTCTTCTATTTCCTGAGACTTATTATCACCTATATTCTCTTCCTTCTCATCATCATCCTCTTCCTTCTCCTCCTGTTCTTTCTTGAAAGCAACATACTCAGCTTTTAATTCTTCCATTTTCTTTTCTAGTTCTTTCCTTTTTTTTTCATCTTCTCTCTTGGCTGCAGCATGTTTTTCTTTCAGCCTTAAAATTTCTCTTTTGATTTCTTCTTGTTCTTCTTTACTGACATTTTCCAATTTCTGTTCACTCCCATCTTTCTTTTTATGGTCAGCCGTAATAACAGTGTCTACACTAGAATCTACATGGACATCTCCCGCTACTGTTACACTTTCAAGTTGACGTCCGATATTCTCTTGTTCATCTTCAAAATCGTCTGTTTCCCCCTCATTGTATTCTTCATCTTCCTCTGGATCTATATCTTCATCAGAATCTAAATCTTCTTCTTCATCTTCATTTGTGTCAAATTCTGTAAATTCATCTTCATTTGTGTCAAATTCTGTATCTTCATCTTCATTTGCTAGTAAGTCTTCGTTTTGATTGACATGACTAAATTTTATGTTGTCTTCCTCATTCCAACTTTGTTTCTCTTCCTCCTCCATATCTTTCAATAACTCATCTAATTCATCAATATTAGGATTTCCATTATTTTGGGGTTCATGTACGACATTCTCATCATCAACCTTAACTTCCATGATTTCTTCGGAAAATGCATCTTGTACAGAGAATTCTGAAAGACCAGCATCAGTTTCTCCAACTCTATTGAAATGTGTACTTTTGTGCAAAGATTCATTTGGTTCTTGATCCCTAGTTATTTTGTAATTACCATCATCTCCTGTAATAACATCATTATCAAAATGAAAGTCATCAAAATCGTGTTCTTCAACCTCTAGACTGTCTGAAAGATCTTGATTAGTTACCTCAACATTGTACATATCATCTTTTTCATCATCTTGTAGCTCTTCTATTTTAAGATCATCTTTAGGAACTATATCAACCAAATCTTCTAGCTCTTCTATTTTGAGATCATCTTTAGGAACTACATCAACCAAATCTGCTTGCTGTTCTATATTGAGATCATCTTTAGGCTCTTCATCAACCAAATCTTGTAGCTCTTCTATTTTGAAATCATCTTTAGGAACTACATCAACCAAATCTTCTAACTCTTCTATTTTGAGATCATTTTTAGGAACCACATCAACCAAATCTTCTAGCTCATCTATATTGAGATCATCTTTAGGCTCTACATCAACCAAATCTTCTAGCTCATCTATATTGAGATCATCTTTAGGCTCTACATCAACCAAATCTTCTAACTCTTCTATTTTGAGATCATCTTTAAGCTCTACATCAACCAAATCTTCTAACTCTTCTATTTTGAGATCATCTTTAGGTTCTACATCAACCAAATCTTCTAACTCTTCTATTTTGAGATCATATTTAGGTTCTACATCAACCAAATCTTCTAGCTCTTCTATATTGAGATAATCTTCAGGTTCTACATCAACCAAATCTTCTAGCTCATCTATATTGAGATCATCTTTAGGCTCTACATCAACCAAATCTTCTAACTCTTCTATTTTGAGATCATCTTCAGGCTCTACATCAACCAAATCTTCTAGCTCATCTATATTGAAATCATCTTTAGGCTCTACATCAACCAAATCTTCTAGCTCTTCTATATTGAGATCATCTTTAGGCTCTACATCAACCAAATCTTCTAGCTCTTCTATATTGAGATCATCTTTAGGCTCTACATCAACCAAATCTTCTAGCTCATCTATATTGAGATCACCTTTAGGCTCTACATCAACCAAATCTTCTAGCTCTTCTATATTGAGATCATCTTTAGAATCTACATCAACCAAATATTCTAGTTCTTCTATTTTGAGATCATCTGACTCATTAAAAGAATCCTGTTGCTCAGTGACTTTGCCAGGATCATTGGTTATATCTGGTAGATTATGATTAAAAATGCCATCCTGATCAG